TGTACGCAAATTATAAACTTACTGAGAAAGATATTAGGGAAACAATTCCTTTTATAATAGCACCCCCAAAAATGAAGGATCTGAGAATCAACCTAACAAAAGAAGCAAAAGACCTCTACACTGAAAACTACACCAATATGAAAAAGAGATTGAGGATGATTTAAGAAAATGGAAAGATATCCTCAGTTCCTGGGTAGGAAGAATCAACATAGTGAAAATGGCCATACTACCAAAACTGCTATACAGATTCAATGCAATACCAATTGAAATCCCAACACTATACTTCACAGAACTAGAAAGAAGTATCCCAAAATTCATTTGGAACCATAAGAGACCTAGAATAGCAAAAGCCATACTAGGCAAAAGAAACATGGCAGTGGCTATAACAATTCCCAATTTGAAACTATACTACAAAGCCACTGTGATAAAAACAGCATGGTACTGGAAAGATGCAGACCTGAGGATCAGTGGAACAGATTGGAAGACACAAAAACAACTCCAGATGCACTCAGCTACCTCATCATTGACAAAGGAGCTGCCAGTCCCCACTGGAGGAAAGATAGAATCTTTAACAAATGGTGTTGGAAAAATTGGATCTCAACCTGCAAAAGATTAAAATTAGACCCTTATCTGTCACCATGCACTAAATTAAAATCCAAGTGGATTAAAGATCTAAACATAAAAACAAAAACACTAAACTTGCTGGAAGATAAATTAGGCAGAACTCTGGAAGACATTGGCATAGGAAAAGACTTTATGAACAAATCATCAGTAGCACAGGAACTAGCAGAAAGAATCAACAACTGGGATCTCATCTTATTAAAAAGCTTCTGCACTGCAAAAGAAACCATCAAAAGAACTAAGAGACAACCTGCAATGTAGGAAAAACTTTTTACTAGCTGCTCCTCAGACAAAGGACTATTATCTAAAATATATAAAGAACTCAAAACAACCAGCCCTCCCAAATATAAAGACCCAATTCTAAAGTGAGCATCTGAAATGAACAGACATTTCTCAGACAAAGAAATGAAAGCAGCAAGTAAATATATGAAAAAATGCTCCACATCACAGGTCATTCGAGAGATGCAGATGACAACAACACTGAGCTTACACCTCACCTCACAAAGAATGGCTGCTATCAAGAAATCACACAATAACAAATGTTAGCACAGTTGTGGGGAGAAAAGAACCCTTCTCAATTGTTGGTGGGAGTGCTGACTGGTGCAACCACTATGGAAGTCAATATGAAGATACCTCAAAGAACTAGGATTAGAGATTCCATTTGACCCAGCCATCCCTCTGTTGGGTATCTTTCCAAAAGAATTAAAAAAATCATATCAGAGTGATATATGTACACCCATGTTTATATTGGCACAGCTTGTAAAAGCTAAAACTTGGAAACAGCCCATCTGCCCATCAATTGGAAACTGAATAAAGAAGATGTGGTTTTTCTATAAAATGGAATACTACTCAGCCATAAAGAATGACAAAGTAGATTCATTCATAGTTAAATGGGTACATTTTGAGGATATACTTCTAAGTGAAATAAATAAGGCACACATATGGAAATACCGAATAGTATCTGTGGTGTGAAAAACTAACATAGTACTCAAGATCCTAATGGGACAATTAACAAATAGGAAGAAAAGGACCCAAGGTGTAGGGATAGTGAGAAGGAGAGGGAAGGGGGAATAAGGGAAAAAGAAAAAATTATGAGAAAATGTAAAAATGGAATTAAAGTGTTGAAGGGCGGAGGGGAGGGGAGGGTGAAGAGAGGGTGGGGACAAGGGGAAAAAATGAGAACCAAGACCTGGCATGTAAAGGTACAAGATCCCAGTAATGAATGTAACTGTACTGTCTACCTAGAATGTACCAACAAATTAAATTTAAAAAATCAGGGTGACCTATTTCAGAGCCTGCGCTCTCTACTTATAGTCTGTTCTGTATGTATATTATCCATCTGTATACAAATATATAAATTTTTAACACAGTGTTTCTCATTACATGTGTCCAGTTAAATATGTAGGCAAATGTGCCAAATAAAAGAAATCTTTGACGTATTTAATATTGTTAATAAAAATCTTCTGCTGGACATGGTGGTGCAGGCCTGTAATTTCAACACTCAGGAGGCTGAGGCAGGAGGATCATCATGATTTCAAGAGAGGACAGGCTGGGTTATTTAGTGAGTTCAAGGCCAATCTGAACTACATAGTGAGACCCTGTCTCAAAAAAGAAAACAAACAAATACACAAACAAGCAAACAATCCTAAAAGAAACTCCTCTACAACACCATTAAAAAAGCAAAAGAAAGTTGCCATACAAGACAGAAAAAAAACTTTTCTTAACACAGAGAACAATGATCAATTATTATTAATTAACAACAATTATGATTATTGAAAGCACATTCTAGACAGGCAAAATATATCAACCTGATTAAAACAACTAAAAACTTAAGAAATATAAAAATTACAAAGAAGCTATGAAGAATAAATTTAAAAAAGGTACTTTAAAATGCATTTTTCAGTTATAAAAATTGCTGTAAATGATTTTCAATATCAATAAGCTGTGCGAAAACAGGTAGTTTTATGAATTGTGCAAATAGGTAGAGTCTTTTAATTATTTAAAAATGTTTTTCAATATTTTTATTTGTACACTTTTTTAAGCAATTCTGCAGGCATTGCAAAGGTGATTGTGCAACACATGTGCTCAAAAACATGTAGAGTGAATTTCTCCCAATGAACAATTGGGTCATTGACAGTAATTCCACACTATAAAATAGGTGTCACTTACAAAATCAAAAGACCATCTCAATGTGTCAGTGCTAAAATATAAGTTCACATTATATATTTCAGTGGTGAAACAGATTATAAAAGTAATATAAAACAGTGTAACTAAGTGAAACACGTAAGCTTATAACTTTTTAATGTATTTAAATATCTAGAAGTTTAAATACTGTTCTATGTGAGTGGTTGTCTCTTACAGGTAGAATAAAGAAAATAATTTTATTTTGTTTCTATCATTTAACTATTTTTGTGTATGTGCGAGAGATCAAACTCAGGACCTTACACTTGAGGAAGGTGTGGTGCCACTGAGCTAAATCCCTGGCCCTCGTTTAACTTGTTGCCACAGTCCTGGTATCACATCGAGCATAAATGTATCTGTATGTACGTGTGACACATACACGTAAGTGTGTTCCTGCAGGAAGACAAATATGGTTTCTGACCTCAGTGAGTCCAATTTTAGACAGACTTAGCTTGGCTGATAAGAATATCTACATTTTCATAGAACTGTGTTTTATGCAGACAGGGCATGTAAAATAAAACATTCGAAAGTGGGCACAAAAGAAGTGATATTCATTTTCTTTCATAGAAATAGGCTTGATAGACTAATTAGAGAAAAGCCAGTGAGAAGGCTATTGTCATACCCAAATAGCAACTGGAAGGTTCTGAAGCAAGGCATGGGTTTTACAGGTAGAGATGAAAGGACAACGGGAAGAAGAGATGTGTGGCATTTGGTCAAAGTGCTGCCAAGGAGGAGTCAAGATGCAATGCCTGTGATGTGCAGCCTAGAGGTGTAGTGGGAAAACGCCACCAGATGAGACTTTCAACATAAGTCCATGGTTTAAGTATTTAGTTTGATTTGTAGGATGTGGACATTTATGTTTTACTTATTTGTTAGAATGTGTACTATTTTCATTTTTACTTAAAAGATGCATTCTCTCAAGGATTGGAATTCTCTGTACTAAAGGGAATACATTTGGTAGCTGAAATAATTGCCTGCAGGAGTCTTTTCTCAGATAAAGCCACTGAAATAGAAACCAAGACTTGCAGCAGCCATGCATTTTCAAGTATAAAACAACTTAGCAGAGATCTTTAGGGTGAGAGTGAATATGAGAAGGATCCAGAAAAGGCAACCCCAAGCAAAGGTGAAATTTACTGAGATGCATAATCATAAACTTAAAATGGAGTAAGTTTGAAAAAAATGAAAACAAAAGGCAGATGCAAACTAATAAACTGTGAAATGGATTGTTATTAGGTGAGGGACGAATTAGAACCATCTTTTTCTTCCTTATACAATAATTTAGATGAGCCAGTGAGTGGAAGCATCTTCCGCTTAGTGATTGAGTGAGAGACAAAAGTAAAGTAATGGAAGAGGTCGCAAAGCAATCACCTATACTACCAAGATTTTGTATTTTAGATATAACAAACCTAGTGTCATTAATTTTAACATTTTTCGTGGTACTGGGAATTGAACTGAGGGCCTTCACACTGAGCTACATCCTTAGCTCTTTTACAAAAATATTTTAAGACGCAGTCTCATTAAGTCACTTTGTTGCCCAGGCTTGGTACAATCTTGTGATCTTCCTGTCTCAGCCTCCCAGAGTCATAGGACTACAATTATGCACCACCAGGCCCAGCTTGACTTTTTAAAATATACACACTGAGCATCTAAATTCTTTTCCTTAAGTGACACATACTCAGCAACCAAGGAAGCATTACACTTAATGATCTGTTAATAACTATCAAATAAGATCTCTCATCTTTATTATTATGTATACATAAGGGAGCTCTTCAACAAACTATTGCTGTATTTCACAACACTTTAGTCTTTTCATATGCTCCCTCAATTAATTTATAATCTCCCAATTTTGACATGAATTGAAGGCCTTATTGTTTTTATTCATTACATGTTTTAGAGACACTCCAATTTTTACTTAGTTCTAAAAATTATATTTTGTAGTGCCTAGTATCCTCTTAATAGACTTTTATTAATAACAAGATTAGAAACTTACATTCCCAATATAGTTTCTGTATATCAGACCTATCTTTATAACAGTATCAGGACCGTGTTATAATGAATCTTCCATTTACCTCTGCTGTACCTGTGTAAGAATCTGTACACACCAGAGAGGGCCTCAATACACATTATTGCTAAAATCTGAAATGTTGTATACACAAAGTATAAAATGGACCATTATTTTTTCAGTATACCCCTCTACGATGGATTCTTCCAAACATGACTATGGTGAAAACTTCGGTGAAATCCATGGAATCCTCTTATATAAAGACTTCATCGAATGTTGGAATGATGTGGAAGCCTTCCAGGCGAGACCAGATGACCTTGTCATTGCTGCCTACCCTAAATCCGGTAGGTCTCTATGATGAGAACTCTTATCCACCTGAACGGTAAATCTGGAGCTGGTCACTTACATATTAATTTTCTTTGTCAAATGAGAAAGGTGTATATTTGGTACACGTGATACAACTAGAATAATTTAGCTCTATCCCATGACTATAATCCATAACTTGAAAAGCTCACTGAGAGGTGCAAATCACTGATCACATTTGACAATTATGCAATATACATGAAAATCTATATTCATTCCATGAGGACAATTTATATAGTTTTATTGCTTGTTTTGTATTATTGTCTATAGGATGTGCAGAGTATAAGTACTTTTCATGGATATTTAACAGCTCTCTTTTGGACGACACGGTCTGCATCTTTAATGCTACCCATATATCTTATTCTTAAAGCAATAACTTTCTTCTGAGATTTGCTTGCCTGGGAAGTGCAGTTTTCTAGTTTTACTGCCACAGACCAATAGACTTAAATTAAAACAGTTCAATTCAGACAGCCTTCTGTCATTGCTTCATTTAGCACTTGAAAAACATACATGCCAAACGAGGTACATCTTTGGTGACCCCCGCTCTGAAACTGATCCTCCACTCATTTTCTGGTCTCCACTCCAGGGCAGCACAAGGCCAGTGACCCAGAGAGGAAGCCTGAGAACTCTTCTCCCTTTACTTCTTGTCTCCTCATTTCCTCAGTTTTAGAAATTGCAATATTTTGCCCAGTTTGACTTGTACACGAGCCTCACAGTTGACATCTTACAGGATCTGGTGTCTCCCTTACTCTTTTGTTGTATGTTTCGCTACCAGCAAAATTGTTCTAAAACACATTCTGGTAATTTTGCTCTGTTGGTTAGTGTATGTCAACACCTTTTCATAACTTTTATAAACAGCTCAGACTTTAGCAGGAGCAACAGGCCTTTGTGCCTGCTATGTGCATTATGTTGTAGCTTTGTCCCATACATCAGGCAAATTATCTGTAGGCTCTATAGTGTATTTATAATTATTTTCCTTCCTACTGTAAAATATTAAGTATCCCATCATGATTTAAACAAAAAGAGACCATGCTTCTGCCTGGTGGACCTTCCCTATCTCACATAAGCAGTGAATTTATTCAAATATTTAATTAAGACTAAGCTTAGTCATTAAGGGATTTTTTTTTGTCAAAACACTTCAGAGCATTAGCAAAACACTGAGTTATACATTAGTCCTTTGTAATCCTTTAACCCCCACTGCCCATCTATAGTTTATAGCATTGTAAGAAAACATTGCTATCTTTGAACACTGTTTCTGACTTTTCTGAATGGCACCAGAGAACAAAGATAAGATTTATGCTACTCTGTATTCTCTGAAATTAGACAAAACCCGAGGGAGAAAAGCTGTCAGTGACCCTGCGATTCAATGTATTTATGCAAACAGCACCAATTAGTCAATTTTCTTGATTATTTAGTTGTAAAAATTGAAACACAAAATATTATCAGCTTTCATCACAGACAAATGTGAAAAACTTGCCAGATGTGTTTTAGTATACTAGTCATCCTTATTTGTCAAGGCTATTTTGCAGTCCTACAAGATTAACTATTGGACATAAGATTGCTTTTAGTCCTGTGACTAAACACTCTTCAAATAATATCACATTGACACTTTTGCATTTTATCCATCTAAAAATCCAGCCCTTAGTGGTCAACGGAAAATAAGGCTTATTCAATTGTTACAGGCACAACCTGGCTTACTGAAATTGTATATATGATCTATAAAGATGGAGATGTGGAAAAATGCAAAGAAGATGCAATTTTTAACCGAGTACCTCACCTGGAATGCAGAGCCAAGGAGATACTTAATGGTAATATTCAGGTTGATTTTAAAAGCTCAACACAAATATTTTAAGGTGTGGCTAAAGGTAATACAAGCAAAGATCACAAGCAACAGTGGCAATTAGTATTATACCTGCTATATAAGAAGGTCTGCACATTTACATTTAAATCTTGATGATGTTATACATAGCACATGTCCAGAATAGAGTAAAACATTAGCTTTTACTTGCATTAATTGTAGAGTTTCATAATATGTGAGCATTTTCTTGTGAGCTAAATGTGAAAAACTTTAAATGCTGGGAGATATTCATAAATCTTCAGCATGAATTGAGAAGCATACTAATCACAGATTCTTTTGATAGTGTGAAAAATTAAAAATCTAAATGTTAATACAAAAGAATAGATAAAATAACACCACAAAATCATTAAAATCTATTGAGATTTCTTGGCATTATGATTTGACTATACTATATTGAGGATAAAAGGCAATGATGAGATATGAAAATTTCCCCAAGTATAGTTTGGGATAGCTGGGATCAAGGGATGTAAGTACATTTGTATGAACAATCTTACTATAATGTTAATAATAATCTACATGTGGTAAAATTTTAATTTGATGTTATTTTTTCTCTACAATTTTTCCTGTATTTTCCCAGTATGATTATTGTGAGCACCATTTAAAATCTAAAAATTGCCACTGTTTTCAAAAATGTATATAAATCCATATAAATATTTAAAGCCTTTAATATGATCTAACTTTGTTTTAACATTTAAAAATCAGGTGTGAAACAGCTAAAGGAGATGAAATCGCCAAGGATGACAACGACTCATCTGCCACCTCAACTTCTTCCAGCCTCGTTTTGGGAAAAGCGGTGTAAGGTAACCAGTGTCGAATGCTCTCTGAAGCTCACCACACTCAAAGACCCTTAGAATGATCAAGTCAGATATCACCTTCAGTGCGCATATGCACACTTCTTTGCCTGTCACTGGATCCATAGATGCATAATGAATGTGGATTAGAGCAGGGCACTCGGAGAATCTGTACTATCATTTCACTCTGCCATTGGCCTGAGGTGATTCCGAAAAGACCCAGTTAAATTCTCTAAGTCACAGGTGTCTGTAGAAATACAATAACATCATCCACATTGCTATGGTTTATATTTGCACGTCCCCAAAGCTCCCTCTGTTCAGAGGCAGTGGCTTGTGGAAGGTGATTGGATTATAGATGTGCTGCAGCTAGGTTGGTGCTGGGAGGTGGATCTGGCTGACAGGTGCTGGTCCCCAGGCCGTGCCCAGCTGGGGCGCTTCCGCTTCCCAGGCTCCTCCCTTCTCTCTCTGCTTCCCAGCTGTCATGCAGTGAGCAGCCTTTCCCACACTTGCCTTTCCTTGCTTCCTAGCTAACTATGGGGGGAAACATGAGCTAAAATAAACTTCTCCTTTAAGCTGTGGGTATCCAGCATTGTTTCTCACTTGCAAGGAAAGTGACTGAGAAACCCATAGAATTGTTAGAAGGATTAAATAAATTAAGCTTGCAATTGCTTGACATAGTACACAGCATATTCTAAGCAGATTATTTAGAAGCTACTTTTGTGTCTGTTGTAATTACTGGTTGTACTAAATATCCACCTTTTCTAAAACTTCATACTTAACACTGTGAGACATATAAATGAAAAATAAAAATGAAAATCAGACAGGCATCATAACACATTCTGAATGTTCATTCCGTTGTTAATAACTCAGTGTCATAGCCTGGCTGAGAGCTGAGGGAAAGCAGTTTATTTCAGCTTCAGTTCTGGTCCCAGGCCTAGGGACTTCAGCAGGTGATGATCCTCTTGCTGGCAGAGTTGAAGGCAGCATCATGTATCACCGGGTGAGAGGTAGAGTGCATGCATGTGTGCGCTGTGGTCTCTCTCCCACTTCATGTACAGTCATGAGTACTTTGTCTTAGACAGTAAGACTCTAGCCAGCTTGTTTAATCCAAATCACCACTCACAGGTTTCACCTGGGAACAGCATAGATTAAGTTTTATCTTAATACTTCAAAAAATACTATTATATTTGTAGCTTAAAGTATAAATCTTTAAATCCTGTTGAGACAATGGTTGAAGAATCATTAAGTGATATAACATACAATTCCTTTTTTCTTAGATGATATATATTTGCCGGAATGCCAAAGATGTAGCCGTCTCTTATTATTATTTCTGTCTAATGGTTACAATTCATCCAGATCCTGGATCCTTTCCAGAATTTGTGGATAAATTCATGCAAGGTCAAGGTAGGAACAGTTTATTTTCTCTGAATTTGCCCCATATAAGTGATAAGGACAAATCTCCACACCCATGTTCTTTTCTGTTTTTTTTTTCACCATCTGTTCTGGTTATTATCTCTCCTTGATCAAAACACAAGATATTCTAAAAGCAGTTACTGCTTAGAGCAAGTGTATGGAAAATTTCAGAATCTTGATACTTCAGAGCAACACCTGAAGATAATTGCATTCAAGTGTGCCTGAAGGCTAGAGGTAGAAGTTTCTTCTCTGAAATTCAGACAATGTCTAATTTCTTCTTATCAGAAAGGCGTTTCACAATTTGTTATTGTCTGAGGAGGGAATGAAGACAGGAGAATGCCCATTTTCTTCCAAGAAAAGTGCTAGATGTTACTTGAGCATGAATTCACAACCAGTTGTGAATATCTCCAATACCCTTCCTCTTGGGACCCAGTGTGTACTCTGAATATTTCAACCAGATACCTAGAACAGTAAGGAGTTACTTGAGCAAGCACCATGAGAAGTTTTAATTCATATTAAATATTTAGAGTAAAGCAATTAAGTGTTTGGATTTGAAGATGAAAGGGTACAGGATTCACTAGTATCCATTAAAGAAGGGGGACTCTGAGTAATAATCGAAGGAAAAATAATAATGCCATTTTATATTCATAAGATAACATTGACTCAATATAGGGTACATGTGAATTATAGAAAAAATAATTTTTGCCAAGTGTCATGGGTATAATATATGTCTCCAGATCATGTGTAGGCCCTGATAGCAGGATGGAAAAGACAACATGTACACCTCCACAAAAACCATGAATAAGGTGAAAAGAATGAATAAACATTGTAGAATTTCTTATATAATGAAAAATTGCCTACTAGCATGAAAGAATGGAGAAACCATATCATGACACAATGAAAAGTAGACCAGCTCATACACAGTGGCAATGTTTTTGTTAGTTTGTATGTGGATGAAATAGTTGTATGTAGGCAAGAGGAGAGAGAGGGAAAGGGAGAGAGCATGTGCTTACACCATACCATCTCTGTCATCTAATTTTCTGAAAGAAAGCTAACACTAAGCACCCCCTAGAGAGCATTTCTTGAGATCTAAATTACTACCGTTGGATATCAGCCCACCTTCTTCGCACCAGGGCCTGGTTTCCTGGAGCATAGTTTCCTCACCTGTGGCTGGGATGCCGTCTTCTTTTGCATTAGTGTATGATTGCAATGCATAAGTTATCATCACATTCCTGCCTCGGCTCCATGTGTCTCCAAGGGCAGCAGGCCCTGTCTAGAGCAGCGTACTGCGGCTCTGGGCTGCTCTGTTTCCACCCATGGGAAGCTCACAGACTGCCCTGCAGGAGTTGGCTCTCAGGGCTTTGGGTGACTGAGCCACAGTAATACCCGAGGTCACTCATGCTTGCAGGGCTGGGACGTTAATACCCGGGCTGGACCTTGCAGCCCCAGAGCCCTCCTGTGTGGGCAGCCCAGGGGGTGAAAGCCGGTGTACAAATGCTGACTTTAGCCCTGGTACCGAACTTTTCTGCTTGGGAGACCGGTAGTAGTTCTAACTCAACTCCTGATATTAGTAGCCTAATTTAATAAACACATACAGACACACAAACCAGTTTTTAAAATGTCCTCATAACTTTGAATTAAACTGATGGAATAAGTGACTTCACAAATGATGATGCAGGGATGGAAACACAGTGTGCTCTTGGTTTCGTTCATTCAACACATTTTGCTTTTTTTCAGGCAGCAAGTGTTGCTTAACTTGTGTGACAGATCTGTGCTCATCCACTTCTATTTTATTGTTGCTGATATTTGAGTACTTGTTTTCAAGCTGCACAAATCTGACAGTACGCCTTTACACTTTTTTCTTCTCTTTTCTTTTTAGTTCCCTATGGTTCCTGGTATGACCATGTAAAATCGTGGTGGGAAAAGAATGAGGATCCACGTGTGCTATTTATGTTCTATGAAGATATGAAAGAGGTGAGAGACTGGAAACATAAGCAGTTCAGTAATTTCTAAGATGCTAGCATGTGGAATCAGTAAACCAACTCTAAACAAGTATTAGCCACCAGCTCCAAACTTTTGAGGATGCCGCAGTAATCCAGATATTTTAGCAGAGAATTGAAAGTAGTAGACACAAGTATTCTGTGAGTGAGTATGTTAGGACTATATCTTAAAACATTTCCTAAGGATAAAATACAAACAAAACAAAACAAAAGAAAAACAGTTCTTAAGACCACACACACACATTTGAAAAGTAACCATGGTCAAAGAGTTGTTAAATTTTCAAAACTATAACTATTATAATCATCACACACAGATTATAAAATAATTATCTTTGCCATATCTAAAAATAAACTTTGAAGCTCAGAAATTTACTCCCCATTTGTCTGCATTCCCCCAGTCCCCATTTTGGTCAATAATCACCATGTTTCAGTTTTCTCTATATTTGAATCATGAGAAATCTAAGAATGAAAAAATGAATTTGCTTTTTCTTTTACAGTGTATCAAGTAGAAAGAGGTGGGCATATTAAGGTTGTGTTCATAGACAAGATCTTTGAAGTATGAGGAAATAAATAAAAAAGAAAAGTATACATGAGATGGTAGATTTGGGAATTTTTAGGAACAAAAATTGAGTCATGTAACTAAAATTTGGACAGTCAGGTATATCAGCCTAAAGGTGTCACTAATGCTGAAGTTTGGAAGGTAAGGAGACAGAAATCTCCGCAGGGAGAATTGTACACTGGAATAAAAGCTGCAGTTGCTATTGCAAGGAGTTGCATTGAGTAATTTGGCAGAACAATGGAGCAGATAACAGGAGTGGCCTGAGATGGTGATGCCTGTGTCTGGGTCCAGAACACATTATGCTTCTTAAGTTTCCCGTTTCCATATTTTTCCTCACTACCACAGTGAATTAGAAAAATAAATGGTTTCTGCAAGTTCACATCTGCCAATCTCGATCTTTCTGTCATAGCGCACCGTGGTTTTTGAGAATGTATGTCCTATATACTATATTTGAGAATATAGATTCACCTTCCTTGATAAAATAAATTGAACATAAATACCTGTCAAAGACTACAATGATTGCTAGACAAATATCATCTAATTTAATTTTGTAACAATATTGTAGTACTTTATATCCATTTTATGAATGAGAAGAATTATGTAAAGAGTGGCTTTTTAGAAAACAATTTCCCAAGGAGCATTTTTTTTCATTAAATTTTAATTCCTACATAATTGAGAAAAAGAAACTTTTGCTCATTTTTATCAAAATTTTGATTAATTCAATTTTAGCAAATTGTCTTCAAAGCATTTTTTTTTTCTATAGGATATCAGAAAAGAGGTGATGAAACTGATGCAGTTCCTGGGGAGAAAGTCATCAGAAGAGCTTGTGGACAAGATTATAAAGCACACATCATTTCAGGAGATGAAGAACAATCCGTCTACCAACTACACCATGATGCCAGAAGAAATCATGAACCAAAAAGTGTCACCCTTCATGAGGAAAGGTAAGTAAGTCATGCCATTTGTCTCTGTTGCTGTAAAATTGATTATTTAGTTTTTGCAAGATAAGAATAATACAAGATACCTCAATTCATCACCAGCAATAATACAACATTCTACTAGCCTATATAACCAAGCCTATGTGTCTCTAAAGTGCACCATATTCCTTACATATATTTTCTACTTATGATATAACCAGAAACTCAGAAAAATGATCCAATTTCCCTCTGATTTTAAATGAAGAAATCCTCTTAGAACAATAAAGGTTTTTTGTTGCTGTTGTTTTGTTTTTTGTACCAGGGATCAAACTCAGGACTTTGCACTTGCCAGGCAGGCATGGTGCCACTGAGCTAAATCTCTAGCTCAGAACAATTAGGTTTTTCAAAAACAAGAGACTGAAAATGTCAAGATGAATTGGAAAAAGTAGGAATTTAAATACATCCCTGTTTAGGAAAGATAACACACTTTGAAAAAAAAGACAAGCTATTCAAAGAGTAGATGACATATAATCTGTAACTGACTGGTTTTGCCCAGTGACACATGTGTTATTCCTATTATGTTTAAAGTTCTATGAGTACCTCACTAACAATTTAATTTGCACAGAAAATATGTTTCTATTTTGTTTCTGATTCCTTCCATGTTGCTAAGAGGATGTCTTGGCACTCTGCATAGCTTATTTGCCTTTGAATTTATAAACTGGTCATATATGTTTCACCGGGCTGTGACTCCTCCTCTAAAGGCCATTTTATAAATTCAAAGGCAAATAAGCTATGCAGAGTGCTGAGAGTTCCTCTTACCAACATGGGAGGAATCAGAAACAAAATAGAAACAGATTCTCTGTGCAAATTAAATTGTTAGTGAGGTACTCATAGAACTTTAAACATAATAGGAATAACACATGTGTCAGGGCAACACC